CATGTTTGTGTGTGCTGTCTGCGTCACTCATAGCATGTGCCTATATCGTGCACTATATCGAACATTTTAATATCGTTATCGAAGAAGGTGTACCATCGATAAATATAGATACCGTTTTATCCACTCGAAGACGATAGCCATCATAGTCATAGCCATCTCGTCCATACACAGCATCCTCTGCATCTCTGCAAACAGAGAAAATAATGAGTGGTGAACGATAAAATAATCCTCACGGTTTGCGCATGCGCAGAATGTTATACTCTCAATCTAAACATGGTACAATTGTTACTTAACGTTACTTAAACTTCCCACCTTCCGTGTTATGACCTAGCTGATGGATTTCAGCGCCTCATATTAGCATTTAATTTAAAGGGGTCATATGATGCTTTTTTAAAGATCATTATTTTGTGTATTTGGTGTAACAGAATATGTTGACATGCTTTAATGTTCAAAAAAAACATTATTTTTCAAATACTGTACATTATTGTAGGTCCTCTATGCCCCGCCTCTCTCAAACACTTCGTTTTCTACAAAGTCCCTCCTTCCAACAAGCGCAGTCTGCTCTGATTGGCCAACTGACCCAGTGCATTGTGATTGGCCAAACACCGCAAGCACTCATCGGAAATGTAACGCCCCTTACCATAATCGCCAGCTTCATCTTTCAAAATAAATGTAAACAGTAAATAATGTCATTAGTTTTACCATCAGTTCAAGCACAAAAGGGGAACAGAGTCGCGTGACAGACACAGTGATGAAGCTGGTATGTGTTTGCAGTACACAAGCCACGGTTAAGACAGCTGACTCTACTGTGATGTGACCCTGTCTCTCCCTCTCTCTCTCTCACACACACACACACACACACACACACACGATGCGCAAAACTCCGCATTTGAACAGTCAATAGCAAATACTTAAACTAGTAACAAAACAGTAGCTGATTCAGAAGCGCCAGATTGTCATAGCAAAGTCAGAATTACCTCCTCTCCTAGGTTCACGAAACGGTCGTCCATAAAATGCATTGCTGTTCTGTTGTAAGTAATCTTAAAGATTCCTAAATGCATCTACTTTCGGAAGGCCAAATAAAGTGCTTCTGCTTTCGCCTAGAAACACACAGCGTCTCCCTGACATGCTGCTTCAACACTAACTGCAAATGTCTCTTTGGTTTTGAGACTTTAGTCTTTGCAACTTCAGGGATCTTATCTATGCACAATCAGCTTGTAACACTCCAAAGAGAAAGGAAAACTTGAAATCGCATCATATGACCCCTTTAAAAGACTAGTATTTGCATATAAAACACGTATTTATATCATGTAATAAGTTAAGAGAGATAACATCGACTTCTTGTGTATTCGTTAGCAACACATAAGCATGTAGCTTCAGGCTAGGCTTGGTTTGTTTGCGTGTTTACCTCGGGTCCTCGAACTCCACGAATGCAAACGGCGGACCTCCTCTTCTGTTTTTAAGGTCGATATCCCGAATGGCTCCGTATTTATAAAACACATCCTCTACGTCCTTGGTGCGAATATCGGGGGGTAAATTACCTACGTAAATCCGACAGTCGTTGTTCCCTGCAGGCCCTCGAATTACACTGCCAGACATTTTCAACCAGAAGTTACGCAAACGACGTTGAGAATTTGTGACGAATCGTCAGGTGACAAAAAAAAAAAATCCGTTAGCACTGCTGTATCTATATACGTTTACCAACCAATGCTACTGGTTATATTCAAAACCTTTATTTCTCAAAGAAAAAAAAACCGATCCCTCTCAATATGGCGCTGTCCCTTTTTCCCTCAACACACATTCGCGACTGCGCGGAGGGGCGGGGCTACGCGGAAGGATACGTGCTTGGCAGTACTGCGGCAGCTGAGCTTTCATGAGTTAAATTGAAACTGTTTTTTTATTTTGCTGATAATGTTGTTTTAAACCCGTATGACTTTTTCTTCGTATGTTAGGCAGAATGTGAGGGACTTGCAGCCTCAGTTACACTTTCATTCTGAAATGGTCTATCTTTAAAATTATTGAAGTGTCATTGAGACTGTCATAATGCCTTAACATCTTTTTTTTTTCTGTCACACTAATTTAAAACAGCGATAAAATGATGACATCGTGTAACATGTCCCTTTTAAAAATGGCATTAGTCACTTGGTGCAATTTTAATGCATCAATCCAGTATGCAGTACCTACTACCTATCTAGATATATAGTATAGTGAGCTACTATTATTTTGCATGATATAAATTCCGTGTGAATGGTGGAAATACAGCACTTTAACTTAGTCCCTGGCACATTTGGTTTTAAGTTCAATTGTAAAACAAACAATTAAGGCAGTTTTTTAATATATATATATATAAACATCAGGTTTTCACATTAGAAATTCATACAACTGAAAATAGTTCTCACATGGCATCATTCCTGGATCTCTATACAAACCCATTTTAAAGTCAACACTCATCAACCCAAACATTCAGATAAATTATTGTAATATGTCAATAAACATAAGAATGTTTTATATACATTTTTTTAATCTTGCGTTTTACTTTTGTTGCAACTATGATTCCCTTGAAAAACAAACCACAATATGCCTACTAATTCCTCACAAATCTAAATGAAACTGAGATCATGACCCAGTGTTACACTGTTAAAACAAGACATGCAGTGGACAAAGAGAGAAACCAAATTTCACACTGCACTTTTATTCACACTGCAGAATCAATCATTTCACTCATTCATTGTTCAGTACAGCTGCCTTCGTAAATTTAAGCATATAATCCGGATTTCATATCAGTTCTTTTTCATCCAATGACAGTTAGACTATTGGTCTAATAAATAAAATGTAAATGTACACCACACACATCATCTCTTAATGAATCAGTCTGTTTTTTGAACATGCTACACAAATGCAGCCATTAGTGTGCATACATCAAACAAGCTGTGGTTTCTTAGTCACTTTTGGCTTGTTTATCTGCTCGCCTTTTCTTAGCTTCACTCACAATTTTCAGTAGCGAGAGCACAATAGGTACACACATAGGTAGGAAAAGAGGAATATAGATGGCGAATTTCTGATCGTCTGGAAAATAAAGAAGATGCAAAAGAGAGGGGTCGAAAAAGGCCCTCTCTGAAGCCAAAATGGCCTCCCTGCTGTACTGAAGCGCAAAGGCCAGGTTCCCAGCCTCCAACTCGGCGACAGCAGACTGGAGCGACGTCACTGCACTGGAAACCTGTGCGAGAAATAATAGCAAAAGTGTGCATTTTACAATACCTACTGTTCAGAACAAAATGTTACAGTGGAACTATTTCATTATGTGATGAACTATGAACATCGGGACCTCCCACCTGCTGTGCGATGTTGTCATTGATGACGATGTTTCCAATCTGGTCAAGGAGCTGAGCCAGCGAGGTGATGGTGGTGCTGGCGGTGGCGATGTTCTCCACACTGCGGCTCCACAGGAGTCGGTCCAGCTCCCAATCAGCCAGTCCAGCGCTGCCTGGGCTCTGCAGCACAAAGCCTGTGGGAGGATGAGTATGCTGCACTCCCAGCATGAGCCTAGAAACAAAATGATAAAGAAAGTGAAATAAAACACTTTCACCTGGGCAAACCAGGTATTTTTACTTACATTTGTGAAAGTACTAACCGTAACTGTGCCAAAAACACACCCATCACTTTAGCCATATTAATGTTGATATCTACAGGACGTTCAGCTTCAGGTCCGTACATTTCATTCACATTGTACACCTGGGGACACAGATGACAGATAAAAGACATATTCCCGTTTGCAACATCCAGCACATTCACGTCATTTCATATAATTCACAATATTTAAAGGTGACATATCATGAAAATCTGACGAGCACAGAACACTCGAGTCCCAGCCTCAGAGGAGACAAGAGAACAGTGGATTTATTCATTCGTTTACTGTATATTACGCTGCTGCCACACAGATTATGGAAGTGAATATATCTGGACAGTACCATAATGCCGCCCCAACGAGGGCTGTGGAAGGCGTTAGAGGGCACCTCCCGTTTGCTGTGGTCTCTGATGAAAAGAGGAGAGTGGTGGGAATCTGGCACATATAGCAGGAAGTTCAAGACAGGGTTTGAGGAAGCTGCATTGGAACCTGTGTGAAAGAGAATACCAGAATGTGTAAATCTACATGAGCATAAAAACCATTGATTAAAAGCAGATCACATCAGTTATAGTTCAAATCTCACCTAGTCTGGCCTCAACAGGGTTGATAACATGTGACAGGCTGTCTGCACTGAGTGTATATGCTGACACGCTGTTGTCAAATCGAGGATTCACACCCAGAACGGCATAATACAGAATCTGAAAAGAACGAACACACAAGTGACAAATAGAAGAGGAGAACTTTGGGTGGGCAGTATTTACTATATCAAAAATGAGAATTACAAATTATTATTTGCAAGATATAAATATGCATAATGATAGTAATATTTGTTCAATGTTTGCTCAATGGAACTCAGTGGAAAGCTGTTGATATATTAAATAACCACACAGTAATACCAATTTATCAAATTAAATTTAAATCAATTCCAATTAAATTAAAGTAATTAAATTAAAGGAAACCAAAAAAAATCTGGCATTAGTGAGCAACTTCATATTTAATGTGAAACGTGTAAAGAATATAAATATAAAAAGAAAATAAATATATATATATATATAAAAAAAAATCAATATAACTAATATTATAAACTACTAAAATTCTGACTCTAAATGCTGACTGAATGAGTCTTAATGTTGTAAAATATCCTCATGCACCACTCCATGTTTCTTCATTTCTCTTGTGTAAAAACACAAAGCAGCTCTACTAGCTGTAAACAGTACAGCAAATTCTCTACGGGTTAACACATTTGTAATCGTTGCAAGGTACAGAATATTCCGTCATCCCTGTGAAGAGTCACATTTGTTAGAGACCACACAAACTACAATGTAATTGTTCTTAGGCACCTGAGAGTCCACTGAAAAGTTGGCTATAGGGGCAAGTTTGTTCAATAAAGGCTGAATGCAGCTTTGAACGGCGCCTTCGATATCCCAGTGAAGACTGTGTGACCTTGGGTCTGGGTTGAGCAGACTGAATGTGATCTCGTAGCCTAAGAGAGGCCGAAATTAGATTAAGATAATTAAACGAGTATGCTATTGAGAATACAAGCCAAAATGAGGGATAATACTCACCAGGACTGGATTTGATGGCCCGCATGCTGTCTGCCATACTCTCCTTAGTCACTTTGGCCATGCGGACACGGTCGCTCAGAGCAGCTACTATATCCTGGTGACTAAAGGACATGGTGCTTACCACCTGCTCCACCTCCACGTCCAGATTTGATAGGACTTCCTTCAGACTCCAAGAACTTTTAAAGGGAGGAGAACGTAGCAGCGCAGTGCGCCGTTGCCCCACGTACACTTTCACATCCTGAAAGTAAACAGCCAGAATGAGCATAATGAGCTTCAGAAGTGATTTCAGTATGTAAAAATACAGAAATGCTCTGAATCTTACCTCTGGCAGAAGGGCGGCGGTCTCGGGGATCACATATACAACCACAGACCCACAAGAACTCTCAGAGAGCATGTGTAAGGATAGATCTGCCTCTGTGGAGGGAGAAGTCAACAGCTCAGGGATAGAAACTCCATAGTACCAATAGAAAAATGAATTCACATTTAAAAATGAGTGATGTGACAAAAAGAAAACCGAAGAAACCCAAAACAGCTAATTTTAAATTAGCTTTTGTTTCGAATAACTAAACAAATACAATTACTATTTACTATAATAATACTTTTTTATTTTATTTTATCTATATTTCAGGGACAATACACATTAATAATGCACATAATCAATGTAAAATGTGCCAAATTTAGCCACAATGGCCAATTTCCACCTGTAGTGCCTGGGCAGGTAATTGGAAAAAGTAAAAAGATCTCGGTGCTTACACTAAAATCCATATACATGTTCACAATTTCACAACAACAACCATTTAAAAAATTTTTTTTAAAAAGAAACCACAATAACGAATTCGTTCTAACTATTTAGTTCTGTTGGGAGTCTATTTAAGTTTTAAGGGTTCCTCTGAAAGCAAATGATAATGGATAAGAAGAAGAATATTTAATGTATAAGTGATTGCAATTGTTCTTCCGTCAGTGGGAATTACTACAATTAAAATATTCTATAATCTGTCAGTATAGTCAATATATCCTCATTAAAATGAGACATAATTGAACTGGTATTAATAAATAATTAAATAGCTGATTAAAGGGGTCATAAGATGCGATTTCAATTTTTCCTTTCTCTTTGGAGTGTTACAAGCTCTTGGTGCATAAAGAAGATCTGTAAAGTTGCAAAGACTAAAGTCTCAAATCCAAAGAGATATTCTTTATAAAAGTTAAGAGTCAACCACGCGCTGTTCTGACTCACAGACTGTAAGTACGTTTTCATATTTAAAGGATTTGCCACTGACGATTCAAACGCGAGTTTTGAGCAGTGTAGAGTAGCACTTGTTGTTTGTCATTTCTCCGATCACAAATGCAAACATGGTTTTATATTTACGTGGCGCGATGCAACGCAACATATAAAAAGACAGTATAAGTCATTATAATCCGTAATTATGTCCCCACTGGATGCAACAAATGCCTCGTTTATAATGGGTTTTAATGTTTTTGTCTCGTCGCTCCGGCCGGGACACGGCATCACAATATGGCAAGGGGCGTAACATTTCCGTCACACTCTTGAGGAATTCGGCCAATCACAACGCACTGGATAGCTGGCCAATCACAGCACACCTCGCTTTTCAGACCGATGAGCTTTGTAAAAATCGACGTGTTTCAGAAAGGCGGGGCATAGAGGAGAAACAATAATGTACAGCATGTGGAAAATAATGTTTTTTTTTAACCTTAAACCACATAAACACATTTCATTACACCAAATACACAAAATAATGTTCTTTTTAGCAACATCATATGAACGCTTTAAATCATCATTTACTAGTAACAATAAATCCACTCAACCTGCAGCAGTGGGCTGATTCAAGGCGTCTTCCTCCATTATAGTGGCAGTGCGATATCTGGTTTCATATTTGTACCGCAAACCTGTTTTAGCTGAAGAGGAAAAGAGAGCAATGTATTCTGTTCTGGATCAAAATTTCTGTTCTTTGTTTTTTTAAATTTGTTTTATGATGAAGCTTCCAAATAGTTTCAGAAATTGATTACTTACCATCAACTTGGTGCTCCTTTTCATTGACATGGCTAAGTGGAAACTTTTTCTGCTGTTCTGGGGTCAGTGTTCCTCGCGAGAAGACCACCTCGATATCAACACTTAGCTGAAGCTGTCAAAAACACGATAATATGTCATTGCTGAACTAACAGATTCAGAAACATGATTCTGTCTTGAGGAAGGACGAAGTGCGTGTTACCTGGAGGGAGTCGAGTTCGCTGATCTCAGAGAAAGGGAGCCAGGCGCGGTAGGTCTCGGTGGTCTTCCACCAGAGTGGGATGCCCACCACAATGACCACTGCAGCGATGGCAAGGGCAGCATATCGCCCTCGCTGCTTTTCTGCTATGACCAAAATGAAACAGTAAGAAATAAGACTAAATAGGAGCTACATATTCATTGAAATTGTGGAAAACATAAAATATCCATTATTCATTCCCAAAACATAGTGAGTGACCCAACCCTGACTTAAAACATGCTTAACATAACTAAGCTGCTGACATTTGGCTTTAGTGTTATGCACTTTTAAATGAACAACAATTGTGGCAAAAAAAATACGTGAACACTGAAATTATTTCGAAGGCAAAATGAGGCAATCGTTTTGAATTAAAGCAGGACTCACCAAGCTGCAGGGCTGCCATTGCTGTGTGAAATGACTACCGCATAACCCGCTATTAGAGGATTCTATCCAATCAGACGACAGAGGGCACGGAAGCCTCCAATCAGAGTTAAAGGGGGCGGGTTTAGTGTCATTCTCACTTCCTTAAAAAGCCGATTCATTCCCCTTGTCCAAATACCCACACTTGCGGTCTTAGTACATCACTAATATTATGTGCTAAATAATTATTCAAATTAAATAAAAATTAACTGTATATATATATATATATATATCAGTATTTACTGAGAAAAGCCCTTAAAAAATTATAATTTAAAGATATTACACACAAAGTTCCTATTTGACCTATGAATTTACATGACATTTAGCGGTTCATGATTTCTGAAAAGATGCAGATATACATTTTATAGATATTAGCATTATCATCTGTATACAAAATACAAATTTTAATTAAATAAAGATTATTTAATAGGAATTAGCATATTTACATATTGATGAGCATATTTATAAAGCATTATTTCAATTATATTGACTACAGAAATTTCCACAAAATAAAAAAAAAAATGCATTGGATTTAGGTAAAAATTAAATTTGCTTTAGGGATAGCCACATTTGCCAGTGTTCGCCGAATTTTCGTGGGCAAAATTAATTAATTTCAAGGGGAATCCAAGTGTTCAGGAATTTTGTGCAATACACAAATTTCGCAACTGATTCAAGTTGGTCACACAGATTAACCGTGTTGGCCAACAGAAAGTTGCTCGGTTTGGAAGTGACTTCTGTGTGAGCTATGCTTAATACTGTGCTACTCTACTGACAATAGGCCTTTTGCTAATGTGAAATTTTGCTAAATGTGACTGCACCTTAATGGGAAAAGGATTTGATCAACTGACCTTAGCACGCTTGATGAACTCCTCTGTGGCAGCCTTCTCATTTTCCTTGACTCCGCGCCAGGCGTTGAGGGCTGAGGCCTGCAGGGCACGTCCATAGGAGAAGGTGAGGGCCCAGGGTTTTGTCAGAGGGCAGTTGTTGATGGCGTTCAAGTTGATAGATGCCTCCTCCTCACTCTGACCTCCAGAGAGGAATGTCACACCTGCCAGAGGAATTTCAAAATACATACAACTCACCACATAGTGTTCACTGCTCACACTTTTTAAAACATGCCATTTCCTTTTGTTATCTACGTCATGGCGGTCTTAAATCATGACGCTCCACACTCTTAAAGCTTCAAAGCACAGCTGAGGTTTCTCCATTAGACTCGTGACTCACCGGTTACCGCTGGGGGAACGGTACGGCGCAAGGCTGTCACTGTAGCCATGGCAATTTCCTCATTGGAGAATTTGGTGGGGCAGGAGTGTCCAGCTGTCACCATGTTGGGTTTCAGAAGAGTTCCCTCCAGATAGACGTGATGGTCAGACAGGGCCTTGTAGCAGGCAGCAAGGACCTGGAGATACATGGGAAATAAAGAAAAGGTTAGTACATTTAATCATATAGTATGTTTCAACATTAAATCAAGTCTTGTTTGAATGCTATAAATTGATGTCACTTTTTATGTACCTACCTTCTCTGTAACATACTGGCAGCGTTTCAAGTCGTGGTCACCATCAGGTAGAATCTCTGGCTCAACAATGGGCACAATCCCATTCTGAAAATCCAAATGGACAATATTACATAAAAAAAAAATCACACTCCATTGGTTAAATCTTATCTCTGATATCTATGCATTTGTATTATTTATATACTATTATAGTATTTTTTCATATTTTGAATTTAATATTTAAATTTTTCAGTTTTTCATTTTAGTTCAAGTCATATTATGTGCTTTTACCACAGTTTTTGAAAAACGTTTCTATTTAGCTTTATTTTTCTTTAAAGGGGTCATATGATGCGATTTCAATTTTTCCTTTCTCTTTGGAGTGTTACAAGCTCTTGGTGCATAAAGAAGATCTGTAAAGTTGCAAAGACCAATCAGACGACAGAGGGCACGGAAGCCTCCAATCAGAGTTAAAGGGGGCGGGTTTAGTGTCATTCTCACTTCCTTAAAAAGCCGATTCATTCCCCTTGTCCAAATACCCACACTTGCGGTCTTCATGTTCACTTGAACACTTGGGCCAAATACAGGAAATACGTCATATAAGTAGTCAAGTGGTCAAGTGCAAAGACCGCAAGTGTGGGTATTTGGACAAAGCTATTATATCTGGTTTGCAGCACTTTGCAGTTAAAAATAATGCTACTTTTAAAGGGTTAGTTGTTCTCCCAAAAAATGAAGTCTTTATTTACTCATTCTCATTTCGTGTTAAACCTATATGCGTTTATTTCTTCTGCAGATCACAAAATAAGATATTTTGAATAATGTTAAAAAACTGTTTTGGTTACCATCAAAAAAATAAATAAATAAATAAATCTTTTGTGTTCTACAGAAGAAAAAAGAAAAAGTCATGCAGGTTTATAACGACAAGAGGGTAAATTGTGACAGAATTTTCAGTTTTGGGTGAATTATCCCTTTAAATTAACAAAGGGTTTGGTTTTCAATAAAAGTAAATATTTTTACTACAATTAAGTAAATAAATAAACAATTTCGTGTTACGTAATATTTGATCAAACCCATCTGTAATAGGTCTCACAACACACAAAAATAGCATTTGTGCCTCTAATGCTTTAAAACAATTATGGAAATCCAGGGTGTACCATATTTGTAAATATGCCTCCATTAATTTCAGAAACTGAACAGATATTTTACCCATTTATTATGCAAAATGTTTTCTATTTAAATGATATAACTTAGAATTACCCATTTACTTAGATCTATGTAAACATGCTTAATTCAGCAAATTGTTGAGGGTCTGTTGACGAAAGCTCAAATGGAATGAACTGTAAGTTATGGCTACAAATGTGTGCAATAGGTATATGAAATACACCTGCATAATAATGACAAACAGCATCTGGCATTTTACAGTATTTTATTTTAGTTTTTAACCATCTGACACACGAAGTGCTAAGAGAACAACATCAAATCACAAGATCACATTTTGTCAAGAGCGGTGAGTGCTCCCCTCCCCAAAAGCTCATTTGGTCCGCTCCGCCGTTTACAACCAATATTAGTTATTATTCATGTAGCACTGCATCACAAATACGGGGAGGAGAGGGAGAGCATGATACACTCAAGCACACAACACAACGGAACACAATTTCAAAATAATGGTCCTTTTCAAACTAATATTGTTAGTATTTTATATTACATTTCTTGGAGAGTAATCACACAGCCCAGACAATGCATTAATATTATATGTGAACACAACACAAAATAATATTCCTCGGAGTCTTGTGGAGTTAATCATAGCTAGCAATAATATATTACTCTGTTTCATTCCCTATTATAATAAACTGCCCCTGCTGGCATACACCGATCTGAACTCAGTATTCACATCATCATGAGGTCATACTTCACTGCAAGGAATGTGACAAGTCAACTTGAGTGGCTGGTGCCTGAATTGGAATGACTTATGTTGGAATGATAAAAACAGAACGGCTGATATACATATACATCCATTTAAAACGGGCCACAAAAAAATACTGTTTTCTTGTTTGTAGCATGAACCCACGCTTTGAATATTTCAAAAAATAAAACAATCTCCTGCATACCTTTCTATTTCTCCTCTCCATTCTTAAAGTTTAATACATTTTAAATAGATACATTATGAGACACTGCAATGACAACCCTAAAGTACAGAAGACAGCGCAGGCCTGTGGTTGGTTGGTGACAGGAAGGGTAGCAGCTGTGCACTATACTATTGGCTGGCGGAAGCTGGAACGATGGGATACAGGATGTTCAGTAGGCATGATTGGCCACGTACAGGGACTGTCCCGCTGATCCACCGGTTCCAGAGGAGACGTACTTGCCTTGAGCAGCCAATCCATTAACCTGAGGAAAGTCCACAAAGGTCAGTTTATGTTGCCTGAATCGGCAGTTTTAGACAGACCTTACATCAAAGCATTGTAGCCCAACAATTCTAAACAGATTCACTTCCTAGCTCTATTGTTATTCAATTTTATATTCTTTTTAAGTGTTATATTGTTTTTATTATATTATTTATTATTTAAATGTTATAATATTCTATATAAAATTATATATTATATTTACATAATTCTATTTACCTTCTATATTAAAGTATACATTAGATTCTCAGTACTTTAACATACTCGATGCATGTATTTACTAGAAAAATTGTCCTCAAATTTGTAATATGATCTAGTGATGCACCAAAAAG